GAATAAAAAAAAATTGATCTCAAATGCAGTTAGTTGGATTGGGCACACCTTGACTTCCGAACGAAAAGAAGAGAAAAAGCTAATCCTATTCAACCTAAATTAGATCTATTAATAAGTAAATGTTGTCTTGTAGCCAAATTTAAAATTTAAGTCTTAGATTTAGTGTTTAAGAAAATTATTTTTCTTAAATGCATTAAGTATGTGGAGAATGTACCCTTAAAATCATTTAAGAATGGATTAGTTTCAAAATGCATAAAAATGACTAAGAGACAACTGACAATAAATACCAAAAAAAAAAAAAAAAACACTCCTCCTATAACCAATATACCATGGCCAAGTTCAAGGTTAAAGTTTTAGCACCAGCACCCATCCTATACCAATATACCATGGGCAAGTTCAAGGTTGAGGTTTTTGGTTCAATATTTAATTAAGAAAATTAATTTTTTTAAAATACATCAAATCAATGTAGGGATGCACTTTTAAGATAATTTGAAAAGATATTAGTCTTAAGGTACACGAAAATGGTTTAGAGACACCTTAAGAATAAATAATAGAGAAAAAAAACTCATTCTATATTAACATGTTATGTGATTTGAATTTAAAATATATTATTTACATTAAAAGAAAATTATTACTAATTAGAAAATATTATAATTACAATGCTATAGAAAAATCCCTAGTCTCCTTCTAATTCAAATTTAAAATCTCTTATTTGTATTGTTACTATAGCATTTTTGAATTAGTAATAATTTTTTCTATAACATTGTAAGTATATCATAATTTTTCCTAATTTCCTTTATTTTATAGGAAGAGAACAGAAAATAATTTTTAACCATATCATAATTATATTAATTCAAATTTAAAATCTTTTATTTGCATGGTAACTATAATATTTTTGAATTAGTAATAATTTTATGTTCCTTTTCCTAATTTTTTTTAATAAATTTTTACCTACATTAATTTTTAGAAAAAGTATTTTGAGTTGACTAGGATGAAAGAAAAGGAATGGGAGGAGAATGAAAGTATAATCCCATTTCCTATATTCCCCTCATTTAAATAAATTAATTAATTAAAAATAAATAAAGTAAAAAATTTTCTCTCTCTTTTCTCCCTTTATTCTCCTCAACCCAACATACTATAAAAGAAAAATATGCCTATTTTCTACTTGCAGCCTTCTTCACCACCTCAATGGTGGTAAACAAATTAAAGCCAGTAAGGGCTTTGATTGGAGCTTCTAAAGCCCAAACAATTCTCTAAATTTACTGACAAAAGTTTTCAGTTTTTTATAGCTTGAAGCCCAAGGCAAGGCCCAGTTGGAGTTTCACGTGCATTAAAAGAAGTTTAATTGGGCCTCCAGCTTTTAAGAACATGATAATATTCATTGGCCTGATATCAGAGGTTTATTATGCCTTTCCATTTCTTAATTTTACTTTTCTTTTGTAACTTAAAAAAAAAAAAAAAATTAGGGTGAAGTGAGGATATAATGTCAACCTACTAGAAATTCACAGTGGTAATTATAAAATAATACACTATCAAAGTCATGTTTACCAATTCTTTTTAGATGCCCTAAAATTTTAGAAATGAAGCTTGAATATTATGTTTTGTCTAATATAATTGTAGTAGATAGTTTTTAATTTTAATTTTTATAAATTTTATATTTATTAAAAATAAAAATTAAAAACCAAATTTTGATAACTTATTTAAAATAAGTTTTAACACTAACATTTACAATAAAATTTAAAACTTATTTAATAATAGTAAAGTTATTTTTACTTTTATTTCTTGATTAATTATAATAATATATTGAGAAATAAGTACGAAATTTAACAAGTTTTTTATTTAAAATTATAAAATTTATAAAAAAAACTAAAATTATTAATT